AGCTCATAGTAACCCACTGGTTTCAGACCAGAATGAGAGATCCCATCCAACACAGAGGACAGTGTAACTTGTGGTTGTTTTGACCAGAATACACTGGCTTTAACTAGTGCTACATAAGGCTGTGAAGTGGATGAGTATTGTAGGCAGATAGATCAGATAGTTGCCTAGACTTTTTGCTGCAGTCCAAGCTTGACCAAAACTTTTGATTAGAGATGTAGTTTCAGAGCTTTTATCCCTCTGTGTCTTCTGTGGTCCCTCTCTCTGGTTGCCTGTGTGTTGGAGGATATTTTACTGCCATCCATCTGTAACCAACAGCAATAGGAAATTTTTAGCAAATGTTGAGATGTGTCTAGTTCATCTCCATTTCAGGTCATAAATTGTTGGTTTATGTGGGGGTTTTTTTGTTGATTGGGGTTTTTTTGTTTTGTTTTTGTTTTTTTTTTGTTTTGTTTTGTTTCCTGCCTTTGTTCCCCTATCCCACCCTTTCCTGCAGCAGGAGGAGCTCAGCAGGGGGGGTAAACTCTTTGTTTTTTCTAGTTAGAGCAATGCTGTTTCTGCATCATGGTTATGATGAAAGAAGGCTTTAGAAAAGGCAGCCTGTAGGAGGGTACCCAAAGGACCAACTCATTCAGAAATGTGTTTCCAGTCCAAACTCCTCAACAGAAAATATGTCCCCTGTTCTCATGGGCTTGTCCATGTCTGTATGGGTAGTGGGAGAACCCCAGGTCATAAAAAGTCATCCCATGCACAGGAAACTTCACCACTACATAACCAGCATGTTTCTTGTGAAGAAGATAAAGACTAATTTAGAGTAAAAACCATTTGTAAGCTGTTTCAGTTTCTGTTGGTAAAACAACGGAGGCGGCTGAGAGGGTTGGACTTCAAACTGCTCTGTAGCAAGACTCATTATTTTCCATGGCATTATGCTGTGCTCAACTTGATAAAAGCTGTTCTGCAAAGTGAAACAGAGCTGTGCTTTTTCTTTTTTAGTTTGCAAACGTGTGTTACAAATACTCACTTCCACCTGTGCGTGTGCATCTTTTTGTGCTCATAGGAGTACTGAAGAAATAGAAATTAAAACATTATCTCATTACATTAAGAAGAATATTAATTCTATTTCAGTTGTGAATATAGACAAATAGTCTTAATTTGCACAAAGAATTAAGTGGCCTAAATTGCAATTTTCTATTAAAAGTACTCAAATATGTTAAAGAGATAAAATTGGGGTTTTAGATTAATTGAGTTTGCTGAAGTTCATAGTGGGGGAAGGATCAAGAGGAAAGTTTGTGACTTACAGATTTGTCTGCAAGTGGGAGAGGGCAGACAAGAAAGCAAAGATAAAGAAAGCTACTTTCTGCTGCTGAAATGGTCTTTTATCTAAACATCACTGAAAGGTTGCATTTGGGGATTTCCATGCTGCACAAATACATTCATTGTATCTTGCAGTAGTTTATTTCATTTTCTTGTGGAAGACTTTTCCCTGTTCTTGCTGAGGTCATCCATTTGCTCAGAATCCTGAAGAGGGCTTCAGAGAGCAACAAGACGACTCTTCAGGGCAAACATTTTTTTGTCCTTGGTAATCAAGATTCTGGTCAGTGGGAGAGAGGGACATTGGACCAGCTTGAGAGGGAAGCCTAGATTGAACGGGCAGACTGAGAGGGGGAAATACAGCCTCCTTGTGGAGCTGATGGACTCGCACCCGCCAAGCATGTTCTTGGTGGGGAAGTAATTTCAGTTGGAGGCAAAGGTCCGTAATGGATGCTGGCACCACTTCTTTACTTTTGCCTTCCAAAGTGGTATGGTAAGCAGTATGTCCTTGATCATGGGATAACTAAAGGGGAGTGAAGCTCTATTGTCAGCCACTGGATCTGCAGTAGACATAGTCTGTGTTGCCACACGGAGTTTGGCCGGAAGAATCTGACTCAAAGTGTCAAGCTCATGGCTCTGAGTTTTTGTGTTGTTGTGATCTGTATGAGATTCAGGACATTCATTAAATAAGACAGAAGAGTGAAATGCTTGTGAGACTAAAAAAATAGCTCTTAATTGGTGTTGGTCTTAGCAGGCTACTGCTGGGAGCTGCTGTCCTTTGAGCTGATGTTCTGCTCTTGGACTGCCTCTGCAGCCTCAAGTGATAGGGTTGATCCAAACCTTCACCTCAGACCCTGAAGCGTGGTCAATAAAGTTCCTTGCATCTTCTTTGAAACAGCTGTTGGGGATGGGATGCTGAAATTGCTGGAAGATTGGTCTTGAGCCAGCATGGCAAATCTTGTTTCACTACCAAGGTTTTCAATGGTTGGAGGTAAAAACCAAACAAAACAAACCCCCTGTGTGCTAGTTATACTAGAGATGGTGCTCTTCCATGGAAGGCAACGTAGTCATAACTTAGCACAGTCTGGCATTTCATCCTTTCCATTATTTTGTCCATAATGTTACAGTTAATAGGATGTTAGCTGGAAACCTGGCCATGTTGCAGATCTGGGCAGTATTCATTTCCACTTTTTTGTGTATTACTAAAGCATTTTCAACCAGAGAAACTTTTTACTAAGAAGTTATCTGAAGAATGTAGTTGGCTGAAGAAGCCCTCTTGATGTTTCAAAATGGATTGTTCAGGAACAGGACCCTAATTCATAAGGTTCAGAGAGTGGACCTTACAGTCCAGAGGTGGCAAAAATAATTGCAGTTCAGTAGGTACCCCACAACTACTTTTTCACGTCCTCTTGGAGATAATGCTAAACTTGTAGTAGAATTGCATCCCCGTTTTTTTAAAACCATTAAAGAAGCTGTCACACTTTTCCTTTCTCTATTATTCTCTTCATGTAGATGTATCAGTAACATTTAGCCTTCCACTGCTGTTGCATTTTCTGCTTTGGCATGCCTCTTTACCCCATCAAATGCCATAAGCCCAGAGCACTATGAAAAGTACTATGTAGAAAAGTAAGGTCTCAAAGTAGATTTTGATTTAGTCTGTAATTGGAGTTGCCTCTTTCTCTTGCTTATTGATGTGTGAATCGGAAAAATCCTGTTTCTTACAGTTGTGTAATGAGTGTCAGAAAAGTAGGTGTTAGGGTTAAAGAAGGTTTGATCTCACCTGACACGTTTGTTTCAAGGTGTAGTTTGGTAGGAGATTTTTTTTTTTTTCCCCAGGAAGGGAACAGACCAAGCACTTTGCCAAAACAATTGTAGAGATAAGGAGAATATTAATACTTGCACAAGCTAATCATCAAGGGATGATTTTGGGGCCCACAGATGATCATTGCTTTTGCTTGACATTTTTGCAAGCAGTCAGAGTGAATTCAAATATCTGAAGGTTTCAAGCCAACAGCATGTGGAGCCATGCAGCTGAGCAGAGTGGCATTTGCTTCAGCTAAGACTGAAGGTAGCAGGCTGGAAGTGGCATCTAATGAAGATCTTTTCTTCTGGTCATGTGCTTTTGTGCTAATAGAGCACCAAATAAATAGTCACATAACAGAAGGGAGGCTTGTTCAGAAGCCTTTTTTGCACAGTGGAAATGAACATTACTGGTATTGGGGATCAAGAACAGCTTTTCACACTTCTTTTGAAGCCACAGTTGAAAACTGGGTTTGCAGCAAAACTTCATTAAGTGCAAAGCTGCAGGTATTGTCAGCATCCACAGTGTGTAGGATTAGTAAGGGCAAAGCCAAAGGGTATGCATAGGTGTGTCATGCCCTCTTCAAGATGGGGTTTGCCTGGACATGAATTACATCAGCCTTTGTGATTGCCGGCTCCAGGAGTGGTACCAGTCTTTGGTACCATCTAAGGAAACTATCTGCTGTGTTAATACTACCTTTAATTTGGTAGGAATCATACCTCCATTGATCAGAAACATCAAAACATGATCCTAAAGTTGAAACAGTTGTAATTCAAGAGAGTGATCAGAGCACCTGCCGTTTGGGTCTATCAGGCTGTGCAGTGAGTAGAGGGAAGTCATCCCTACCTGAGCTAGCACAACGGGGAAGGATCCAGTTTGCCCAGCTGCAGCATCAGTCCTAAGCTACTCATCTAAATTCTTTCTATAATTAGAGAAAGAGAGGTACCTTCATGGGGTGATTCATCTCACCTACCTTGGAAAATGGTGACTCATTCTCTGGAAGCTCCCGTGTCTCACCATTGACTATATAGAGAACCTGGGCAGTGAGTTGAGATCAGATACCTGCCTCCTATGCAGTTTAGGTGAGATAATACACTTTCCATAAGTGATAAGAGCTCATACGTATGTTCTTGAGCAGTCTCGGGTAATTGGTAGGGCTGATGATTAAATCAAAAAGCTCAGACTGGATTTCCCCATCTCTGGCATACGTGGGAGGTCTTAAAAGGCACATCCTATTAATGCAAATGTACTTGAATGAGGTGGTACCACTGGCAAATACAGACCTTCAGTTAACCTGTAGTAGATTTAAAAAGAATTCATTTTTCCTGTATGCTTATTGCTGGCTGTTCATAGAAGCCTACCTCACATAGTGATTTCACCCAATGGAGAAAGAGCCCTGCATCCTGATCTTTTGAACTTCTGTGTTTTGATGCAAGATCTTTTCTCCTGACACTGGCAGGTTATAATGCATCCAAACAGCAGAATTTTGGCTATGGAAGAGCAAGCGTAGTAACAAATGCTGTCTCATACTCAACGTATCATATGCATTCTTTTTTCTTAATAGCATCAAGCCTTTCCGTAAACATGTTAACATATGTTTCTTACAACCATTCCACCCACTCACCAAATGCTGACCTGAAGTCAGTCCTTTTCAGCATAAGTTTATTTCTTTGTGCTCCTGCTCTGACTGACCATTGCTATGACTAGTGCAGAGTAAGGTCTGGCAGAGGATCACACTCTTTTTCTATTTTCAGTAAACTTTGATGTGAGAGCTAGTAATCAGAAGTTAAATTTACAGTTAATCTGAGAATGGTACCTGCCTGTTGGTTGTGATTTGCGCTGTATAAAAAGACTGATTATTTATGTTGATTATTTTGTTAATTTTTTAGATGTGGACTTAACTGATATTATGATATGCAAAATCCCTCCACACATGGGGAACAGAGCCCTCTGTAAGTATGATCAATGTAAGTAAATTTAAAATGTGTCATTATGTGAGACATTAACATTGCAATTTAAATGAATAGTTGAGAACTTAAAGAGCATTGGAAAATTACTACACTCAGTATTTTAAGTAGAAATAGTTTCAAAACAAAGAAAATACCTGACCCTTTTTTAACTTGTCAAGGCTTGACCCTTTTAAGAATGTCAGTAACTACAGAGATTTTAGCTGAAAAACAACTGGAATCTTTAACCTATCTGACCTGTAACTATATGAACATATTAGTTATTCTCTGATAAGGTATTTGTAGGATGTGGGGGAAGGGGCTAGGGCATCCTGTCTAAATCTCTGCAAGCACATTTTGTAGGTTTTCTGTTTCATTAGGCAGTCAGGTTTAATGGAGTTACAAACCATTAAACATCACATTACATAAAGAAGAAACCAAGGAAAACCTGTTGCTTGAAGAAGGGGAAAAGATTAGGAAAGTGGAAAGACTTGGAAACTGGCAAAGAATTTTGATGGAAGTTTTATTTGACCAAATCTAAGGACATTCAGTACTATTTGAGAAAGATTGGTGGTTCACTAGCCACTTAACCCCTTAAAGATTTTTTTAAAAAAAAAAAAAAAAGGAAGGGGAAAAAAAATGCTTTTTACTGTGAGTGATCAAACTTTGGAACAACCAGGTTAGCCAGAGAGGTTATGGCCAGAGAGGTCCATTCTTGTCCAAAACCAACTCGACACAGTGCTGAGCAACTTGTTCTAGGTGACTCTGCTTTTGAGCAGGGGGGTTGGATTAGATGAATTCCAGAGATCTCCTCCAACCTCAACTATTATGTGATTCTGTATGAACTGGAAAACTGCCTGTTTTAATTTTTGGCTGTCATAAATTATATCTATAAGCAGAGTGTTGTTTTGAATGCTGTCACTGAGTTTCAAAGCTTTTGGGAATGGGATGTTCAGAGCTCTCAATTTCTGCTGCTTCTACTCAGGAATTCTCTTTTTTACTATTTGCAATTGGCTTATGACATTGTATTGTATAAACCTGGGTTGAATCACTGAGGCAAATTATTAGTTCTGAGTGGCAGCAGATTGACCCATCTGGTGGACATGGTCCAAATTCCTTCCTCCCTAGAATGAGCTCCTCATTTCAAACCTCATTCCTAAGCTTGTGCAGATGGCCAGGGTCGTGTTCAATTCAGTTGTCTTAGATGCTTAACTTGCATCTGAATTTTAGATGTTCAGTGAACCAGTGCTAGTTAAGAAGATGCTCAAGTTCCCTGTGGAGAGAGGGAGATTCTTTTGAAATCCTCCAGAGGGAGATGCTGACTAGTTAAATTTAGAGACTTAAGTTAGGCAGGTGGAATATTCCTTTGAAGGCCTTCAGACAGTTTTAAAATGCCTATTTAAAACCCAGGTAAAAGCTAGGTGCTTTATTAACTTAGAATGCATCTTGCCCATCGTTAGGTCCGTCAACCTAAAAGGAAAAAAATTGTGCTCCCATTATACAGCATGGTTCAAATGTTTTGTAAAATGAATGAGGGGCTGCTGTGAAGGTATTAGTCACTGTATTACGTACTACCTTTCAGGCTTATCAGATTTTGCTCCTAATCTCACTTCCTAAATGAATGAAGTTTGTCATAATAGTATGAAACAAACACAAAAGTTCCATAACTGCAGTGCTAATGTGGCTAATGGAAAGAACATATGAGTTTATCAGCCAAGCCAAAAGCACCACATTTAACAACATAACCAAATTTTCTTTAGGCTGTGTGTTTCTTTTCTACTGTAACATTTCATTTTATATGCATTGTGAGGGAAGGAACAACTGTCATGGATATCTGTGGACCAATACAGTGTAGTGCGAAGGAAAAGCACAGATGCTGCCCTGCGCCACATCAGCAAGAATCCCCTTTTGCTTTTTCTTTCCATCACCATTCCAGAATTTCAGCCTCGCTCTGTCCCAGTAGGTTTTATTTATAGTTTTCAATATCCCTTTCTCATGGCAGTAGAGCCTGGAATGACACAGTGTGCTGACACTAACAACATTTCCTGCCCTTTTGTTCTGTGTTCTGCCGACCCATTGTCCCTTTGTCCTTATCCCTTGTCCTACCTCTGCAGACAGAGGCCCCATCTGACGAATTTACTTGTGCTCCCCAGGGATTATGAAAACCAGGAAACTTCATTAAGGATGGTTTAATAACTTAGACAAAGGAGAAGAGCAGCTGGTCTGTTAACGAGTCTCAACCCCCATTCTCTGACAGAAGAACCTTTCTTGCCTGTGGTACAGTCTTCAACAATTTGCAGTAAAATGCTACAGATGTACAGTTCATGCAAATTGAGTTACTGTGCATTGGATCTGCCTTGAGCATTTTATCTGAATGACCTGAGGCGATTTTATGACAGTAGGTTTGCTGCTGTTAAAAAGAACGGTAGATGATAGTGGCCTAAAATTTTGGTGTATATTTTTGCTCTCTTTATTGCTTAGTGTGGTAATGCTAGAGGAATAGCAATTGGAGACAACCTGCTGCACTCTGCTGCTCTGCAAGACAAACATCGGTAAAGCCAAGCAGCAAGAAAAGAAAGGTTCTTCATGACAAAATGACAGCAAGAGAACACAGTCCCCGCCACGGTGCGAAATCCCGCACCGTGCAACGGGCCTCCACCATTGATGTCACCTCTGACATGCTAGGCCTTTCTCTAGCAGGTATGTACCTTCGTATGGGCTGTTACTCCTTTCAGACTCTGCCTTGTGCTAGCATTGTTTTTGTCTTTTAATTGCTAGAAGATTCAGATGTGTCTGGTTATCTAGAGGGAATGAGATAAAGGAATGCTACTAAAAAGCTAAAAACCTTTAAAGTTACCATTTTTAAAATAGACAAAACATTAAAATTGGAGAGGGAAGAAAACAAAAGAAATTAAACTAGATTTTGTGCAGTTATGTTTATCGGTCAAAAATAAGCAATGGGGAGAAAACAATAAAACAATGTCAAGGTCTAAGAAGAGTCTTGGCAACCTCCTTGTTTGACATTGTATAAAATTTCCAAGAGAGTTCAGGGAGCTGAGAATTATCTCCCTCATATTTTATGGTGAGTAAATTAGGACTGTAATCCCCAGAGGCTTTTTTTGATTAGTGGGAGAGACAGGTACTTTCACAGTTCTCCCTATTCACTGATCACAGAGGAGAGGTATCTGATTTAATAATTTGGAGTTAATAGTGGCTCAGACACTAAGTGGTTTTATTCCTGTTGTTTTCTACTGAGATTGGGCATTTTATATTCCCAGATTCCATGTAATCTTGCATAGTTTTACATGTTTTAACATGTTTTATAAAATGAGATCATCTCACATTTTTCAAATCATTTTAGATACCAGAGAATAGCTAATATTTTAAATACCAGTCATGGCTCATTGAATTAAAAATGGTTTTTTTCCTATAAAATTTAATACCTGCAACTTCAGGAAAAGATTCACATGACAGCAATGTTTGGCTAATCTTGTATTTATTTTTCTGATTTACAGGAAACATTCAGGATCCAGATGAGCCGATTTTAGAGTTCAGTTTAGGTAGGCTTAGTGATTTTTGTACTAATTTTGGTCATACATGCTATTGAGTATGTGTGCGTTAATAGTTGATTTTGAAGTGCCTTTCACGTAGTAAGGATTGAAACTTTGCTTTGATTTTTATGGAAATGTGGTATGGTTTTCTTGCTGCCTGTACAATATCTTTTGATAAGCAGCCAGCAGTTTGATTTTTGTGATGTTTTTACAAGTCTGCAATTAAAGTATCTGTCCTATAAAATTTTAAATGTTTACTATGTGAATGTTATTTTTAAATGTTCATTTTGTTTATGTGAAGATACAGTGAAGTATCTGAAGACAGAATACAGTCTCAGTATTAATATCAGATCAGGTCTTCAAGCAAACTGAAGATTTGCTGGAAACACCATTTTAGGACAGAATATTTTCTAAGAGTTACCAACTATTACACATACCTTCTTTCCTATGGTCTTTGCTGTCAAGTGATAATGTGAAATGGAAGTGACCTAATTTCTGGGATGGTTAAATTTGGACAAGAAGCTTGTGACCTCACTTGAATAAGCAAAAAATATTTTCTTCATGAAAATTTAGTCCACATTTTCAACAGCAGCATGGTTTTCTTGGCTTAGTAGTGGATTAATGTTTGGAGGGTTATGCTCTTAACAGTATGTTTGAAATGAAAAATGAGAAAAATTTCTCAGATGGATGTAATTGTGTTATGAATAATGATCTTAGGAATTCCTTAGCGCTGAATAAGATACTTTGAAAATATTTTCAGATAAATCAAAAATATCTAGAACTGCAAAGCTCTTTAGTGTACATTTGAACATTTTGCTTGTCCAGATGGATTTCAGAATTAACTTTCTGCATCTAGCTGAAGCAGAGGCGGACCACACTGTAGTTACCTTTGGCTAGCTAGAATTTTGCTCTGAAGTTTAGTGTAATTGTGTAGAGTCACTCACTGAAATTTTTGGTAATTGTTTCCTACTCACCACAGTCCCTTCCCAGCAGTTAAACTCACAATAACATTTCAGAGGAAATAAATTACTGTCCTTTAACAATTACAAGCTAGTTCTCCTCATAGTATTGCTGCTAGATCAACGTTCAAGCACTTCTATTAGTTCTCCATGGCAAAATGCTGTTTGCTAATGGGCTTAATGGAGCGTGACTTCAAATCAAATGCAGCCATGCTCATGAGATTCCCAGAGGAAAACCTATGCATGTACACTGTTCTAATGAGCTGTGCCAGGGGGGTGGATAGGCAGGTGTTAGAAGAGAATGAGTTTAAATTACAGCTCTGCAGCTTGGAGCCATACTGATCTGATTGCATGTGTACTGTTTGCATGCACAAAGGTAAGTGATGTCTGCCTTTATAGTATGGCGGTAGATTGTATATTAGGCCCTTCATGGCTTTATTGCTCAGGGTATATAATATGCTTTTATAAAAATGTAGTCTTACAGCAATATGAAAAAGATCCTGACTCTAAATTTATTTATCTATTGCATACCTAAAGCTTGCAGTGAGCTACTAACTCCGTCGCTAGATCGAAAACCAAATAGTTTTGTAGCAGTGAGCGTAACTACACCTCCTCAGGCGTTCTGGACGAAGCATGCACAGACAGAAATTATTGAGGTAAGTAGTGAGGTACTCCTGGATTAGATTTAAAATTGAAGCTAACACAAGAAGCATTTCTTCCTAACAAATATTACCTTGCATTCATTTTTGCATTTTTTGTTTGATTACAGGGAACAAGTAATCCTATCTTTCTAAGCAGCATTGCCTTTTTCCAAGACTCTCTTATCAATCAAATGACACAAATCAAACTCTCCGTGTACGACGTCAAAGATAGATCTCAGGGAACAGTAAGTTTTCTTTATTCTGTTGCCTCCCCAGTCAGTGTGGAGCTAGGAAACGAGAGGCAAGGAGATAAAACTAGTAGCTTTTGTGGAAGAAAGCAAAGGGGTAGCAGCATCTATCCTAGAGAATGCAACATCAGTAGGGGAAGGAGGGACAAAAGCTGTGAGATGGACTTGACAGAGTGGGGGACCGCTGCCAGTTTTCTCAAATAAGGCTTGTTGGCAGCAAGTTTGGGAACACTGATGTAAATTAAGAGGTTCTGTCACTTCTTCTCTTCTGTTGTGGACCGCTTTACTGAACTAGATAACAAGTGGGATCCAGTACCTCTAACTGAGGCCTCTAGCCTGTGCCAAAATGTTGGGCCCATAATGAAAGTCCCTTATAAACAGAGCTGCTAAATTCCACATGTAGGCAGTCTGGTGGAAGTTTTCCACAGGGAGCAGTCATGTCTGTCTAAATTTAGGAACTTTAGAAGTCTGTTTCAGGACCTAAGAAGTCTAATTCTCTCACTGCTTAAAATTTAGATGCAAGCTGGTGACAAAGTTAGACAGATTAGATTTTACCAGAGGTTGCTACCGGCCTCTAATATTGTGTGAAATGGAAGGAAGAGAAAACAAAAGTCCCTGGAGTCCTGAGGGCTTCTGTAGTATTTTTGCAGAGGATCACAAATTGTAAGATAGAGCTTGCCATTAAATTATTTTAATCCAAAATAATGGAAAAATCATAATTTCAGTGTCCAAAACTTAATTTAGTAAAAAATGGGCCCACACTAAAGCCACCTTTTTCTCAGCAGGGAACATGAATTCAAATTCAAGGTGAAAAACATCAGAGGAAATGAAACTATTTTGGAGTACTTTCTAATTCATTATGAAAAATGGTTATTTGTTGTCTCAAAGACACTTATTTCTGCCAGTGTCTAGAATTCCACAATACCAAAACTTTGTGAATGTTTTTACAAAACAGGAGATTGTTTCTGAATTGCTTTCAGGAGAGCATCTATACACTTGACTTCCTGACACACAGATTCTCTGGGCTGTTTTGCCCAGATAATTTTTTTGCATCACTCTCGGAAATCTCCCTGTCCTGGTCCCTTAGTGATTTTGTTCAGGTATAAGATTTATTCCATTACTGAAAAAACAGTCTTAAGTGCCAGCTCTCCCAGGTAGCTACTTGAATCTGTGGGCAACTCTGTACTGTTGCCCAGATTTCTTTCAGGTCCCACATGGCTGCTTTCCCATGACTTCCTCAGGGACAGCAGGGCATCTCTGTAGAGTGCATCATGGGGAGGCTTTGGGGAAAAAGGAATACATCCTGAGGAGGTGCGTTCTTCAAGAGGAACCAAGTTTCGGTCAGGGAGAGACTATGAAGTGTCAACCTAGTCAGTCTGAGTCCCATTCAGTCATTGCTTTCAGTGTTCCTGTATTGCTGGGCCTAAGCTTGTACATATTGAGGTGCCTCCCCTTAAATCCTAGAGAAAGAAAAGGGTTTATTGTCCTCTGGTAGAAAAAGGATTTTTGATAAATTACCAAATTTATTAAATTTTAAAGGGGTTTAATTAGTTATGCATGGGCATATATAATTATATTTTTGTTCTCAGACTATTATGCATAATAATTGTATTTTGGGCTTTGGTGCTGTGTACAAAAGCCTTTGTTCATTGTAAAGGTAAATAATTACAATTTCAGTACTCATCTTCTTCCAGATGTATTTGTTGGGTTCTGGGATGTTCACTGTAAAAGAACTTCTTCAGGAGAAGAATCACAGGTTGCACTTAACACTAAGGTTTGTAATGTTCTCTTCCATTTGGGAGTTAACAGTCTCAGTTTTTGAAAGCATGCTTAAGATGTGATAAAAGCTGTCCAAGAGATGTGATGAAAACCTTTTGTTTGTTTGTCTGTTTGCTTTTTAAGTTCCAGGCCACTATTAAGGAAAAATATTTTATATTGCGTGATAATTAAAACGTGTAGAACAAGACTGTGGTGAATAATGTTGGACATTGGTTCTAGTTCTACAAGTCAAGAAAGTATTGTCAAGACCGATTTCATTTTTGTGCATTTTATCATTTCATCCTGTGACCTCAGCGTATGTGTCTGTGAAGAGTGGCAAAATGGAGTATTTTTAACTGTGTTGATGTATGGGGAGAATGAAACATCACTGAGCCTGTGATGGGGAGAATGAAACCCATCAAACTAGAGGCTTATCTTAGCTGTTTGAAATACCTTGGCTTAGATAAATCTACGCTCTATTTACTGTTTCAACACCTGCCTGTTGCTAAATTGTGTATTTGTTGCTAAGTAATCTATTTATCAATATAATGCACTAGAAATAGGAGGAGTGACATTACAGCAACGTTGGTTGATGTAATTTTCTAGTTTAACTAATATTGGAAACTTTCATGGAAGGAATGTGACTCAGGAGGGAATGAAAAAGAGGGTGTGAGTTTAACATCAATCCTTAAGGTAGTAGTTCTAATTGTAGGAATCAAACCACACTCGTGAAAGCCGTTGTGGGACGAAGTTAAAAGTGCAGCGTTGGGGAAGAATGAAAAAAACAGAGTGAGGGTAAGAAAAGAGAGCTCCGATGTGTAAATGCACATTGTAGTAGTGTGCGTTGAAAGTAGGACAGGCATGCCTGTCACAGAAGGGAAGGGGAAGTCAGCTGAAGGGGGGAGCATAATCAGAGAGACTGAGGGTAATGGTGTTGGTAGTATCAGCGTAATCAGCACTAGGAGAAGTGACTGTGATAAACTTGTAGAAATTTCTTAGCCCAGGCACAACTAACAAAACATGGGCAAAGCTTTTCATGCTAAGAGTAGAGATGGGTGAAGTTTTTTGCTTTTCCACTATGAATTGTAAAGAAAAAATTTACATGATGTAACAAGGGGAGCAGATGAGGGAAATGAGTCAGAAAAGACACCAAAAGTATGACAGTGATGGTGGGTAAAATAGTCTAATTTATCACAGGTGTGAAGATAAGGATGTTTTGAGGGAGATGAAAATGAGGAGGAATGTAGTGGCAGGAGTTTGATCGTTGTGTTAGGCATGATTATTCTGTTAGGTTTATTCTTTCATGACTAAGTTGAAAATGGACTTTATTAAACTCTCTTGTTTTGATATCAAGTGTATTCTGATTATCAGAGCAAAGCATGTGAATACATGCATGTCTTCTCATTGTCACGTTACCCCTCAGATTTATAAGCTAGGTGCTGAGCAATATCTATAAACATGCTGCATGACTTGGATACTTAAACCTTTTCTTGTCATCATCTTGTGTCCTTATTTCTTTGCCTCCCCAGTATTGTCTGTTCCAGAGACTATATTTTTTGTCTTAGTTGTCCCAGCATATTTTTACATGTAAAAAAAATCTTAAAATACCATTTAGAATGTATCTTAAAATAATAACATAAAGTCTCTGCCAAAATTACTATGTGTCATGGGTGAGACAGAATAAATGATAGCTGTGGTAGATCTGGGTTACTGGTGTGTATTTTAAAACCAGCAAGATTAGAGCTTTTACCCCACTTGATTCTCTGCCTCTCCCTCCCTCCCTCCCTCGTCATGTATTCATATGGTCTCAGCTTCCCTCCCCGGCAGGGAGATGGCTGCTGGTCGGGGAAGGTGGCACAGAAAGTTGTGTCAGTTTGTGCTGTGCATCTCCTCAGCTGTTAGTGACCTGTCTCAGCTGTCAGTGGCCAGGTCCCCGGGGATCTCTGGCATTTGTTTCCACGCACCTCCCTGATCTCCAAGATCTTCCTCCACCTCCAGGATCTTTCCTCCATTGAGGATCTTCACCTTCTTATTCCCTAGACCACTTCTTTTCAGGATCCTGCTTTTTAGCATCAGCTTTTCTTTCTGGAACGTCAGGCCCCAGTTTTCCGAATCTAAATAGTATATCTGCAGAAGCACAAGATCAGCCTCCTAACTGGTGGCCTTGACTGACTTCTCTATTAAGTGGAAGAGTTGGGACATGCTACTTCTGTTTAGTCCATGTATTATTAAAATTTACAAGTTGCAACTGTACCAGTTGCAGCTAGCGAGTAGCAGGCTTCTGATTGAGACTCAGAAAGTTCGGTTTCAGACATTCACATGCATGGGCACACACACAATTATCTGCTCCCTGTTAATGTTCCCAGTTGAAGCTGTTTTTTTCCTACAACAGGCTAATTGTAAAATCTGAACTGAACTGTTTCTGGTTTTATGGAAGTATTGAAACACATGCATGGTTTTAGTTTGCCTTCAATTAGGAGGTCTGCACAGCATCCCTGCAGAATGAGGGGAGTGTTTTCCTGTTGGAATAATGTATTATAAAAATATGTAAAATGAAGTTGAAAAACTTCCTATTTAAAATGTTCACTAAGTTTGAAGATTAATAGCCTTTTATAAGTGTTCCCTTGTTGATAAACAGGTCCACCTCCAAAAAAATCTCAACGCAGAGTGTTTGTTGCAGGTCGGCTGAAAGTGACCGTGTAGGTAACATTACAGTTATTGGATGGCAAATGGAGGAAAAAACTGACCAAAGGCCTCCAGTGACAAGGTCACCCGATACAATTAATGGAAGGGTGAGTATAAGCATCGTATCAAATTCGGAAAAACACAGATTTATTACCAGCATTGAAATAAGCTAGGTTGACATCTGCTGTAAACTTCCGTGTCCATCTTGATATTTAGTAATGCTTTACAATTTCAAAATACTGTAAAGAACAGCCTAATGGTGATGGAGCAGGTTTGTATTTTGCACAGCTCTTGGTGCTCATGTTTGGGGTTAAGTCTTGGGGAAAAATTTAGTTTACAGTGATTAAGCTTTAGCTTCAAGTGCTCATGCTCTTCAACAGAATAGACTTGCGGTACTGTATGTTGGTGCACTTGGTGCATTGATAACCAGTTTCACAAAGATGTGGTATTCCAGTTCACATTGTGAATTGGAAGGTGGCATTAACCAAAGCTGTAATGGGGATGCTCAGGGAATTTCCAGGATTTTCACAGGCAATTTAAAAGATTTTAATAAAACTGAACAGATTACTTAAATACTGGATTTTTTTTTTTTCTGATCCCCAAATATTTGTCTGAGAGCAGAAATTTATAATGCTTTCTCAGCCTAGACATATGTTTAATTCTGAAAACCTTGTGTTCTGAATATCCTGGTGACAATTGCACTCATATCTGTGTATCACAGTCACAGTGATACAGTGTGCATTAGTGTCACTTTGTTTCCAGCCAGACCTGTAGCTGCCACATATTGGTGCTGTGCCTTCAAGGACTCTGGAGCTGTGCTAACATAAAGTAGTTGAAGGGTTGGATGAAAAATTTTACAGGAATTTGAACTGTGCGGTAGAAGTATATAGGAATGTTTAGATTTATTTTTTAAGCCTGCAGTATTTTTTGTCTGCGGTAAACATATTTGAAATATCTATTTTAACCATGTGTTGTGTAGAATATTCCTTTCAAGTCTGTGTAATAGGATCATCAATGCATATTGCCCTGGCACTGAGGTTTTATTCTTCACTACTTGTGGTTTTAATTTTTTTTAGACTGTGTTGCCAGTTGATGAAAGTTTAACAGAATCTTTAGGAATCAGATCCAAATATGCTTCATTACGGAAAGATGCACTACTGAAATCGGGTAAGCTGTTGTGGGCTGTAAAACGTAAACTTCAGGCATCAGTAAAAACTAATCTCTTGCTGTCAGCCTGTGGCCCCAGGGCATTTAAGCAGATGTTTCATTTGAATAGGAACAGGCTGCTGATGGAGCAACCCTTTGAAGGTCATACAAGAAGAGATTATTTTATCATCTGCACTATTTTGTATAGTGCAAACAGCAGAAGCAAACTTTTGTCATTAAGTTGACTGTAATATAAAATTTTCCATGCAATTTGCTAATCTATTCCTAAGCAATCGTTGGGGGTGAGGGGGGGGACAGAGGAAAATAGTTGCTTAAAAAAAAGAAGAAAGGTTAGTTTTCCATCAAATCATTGCACGAGAGGAAAATGCACAGTACGTAAAACAAAAAAGTATTTCAAAGGTTGAATATCTATTTCATTTCCTTACCAGTGTTTTAAATAATTTGGAGCCTTTTCCTGCAAACACTGGAAGAATGGTCATTGCGGAATGACCACACTTAGAAAAGCTAGACTGATGCCTGTTTAAACCAGATCTTTACAGCAGTGTGTTACAGCACGTTAGTGAATCAAAGCCAGTTACTTCAAAAAAGGAGAGACTTTGTACATTTTTAACTCAAAGGCTGTGCTTAAATAACATGATTTTAATTCTCTAGTGTTTGGTGGCGCCATTTGTCGAATGTATCGCTTCCCAACCACTGATGGAAACCACTTGAGAATCTTGGAGCAGATGGCTGAGAGCATCCTGTCACTGCACATCCCTAGGCAGTTTGTGAAGCTTCTTCTAGAAGAAGATGCAGCAAGGTAAGTTTGGGTCGATTGCCATGCGCAGTAATACATACGGCTGTTACTGAGTTACCAAGGAATAAATCTGTGTTAATGCACAGAGGCACTGAAGAAAAATTAGTAAAAGCAGCAAGTTGCTGACTGTACCGTTACAGTGAATAAGATTTCGTGTCAGAGTATAGAGTTTGGGCTTGAGTGTGTGGTTACGTGAACACACAGTGGTGCTGATGGGAGTGAATTGTTGGCATAGTGAACACTTCGGATCATACTGAAGTTAGCTGCACTTAGGGGTTATCTGTTCCTCTCACAAAAGTATTGATAAAGCCACAGAATATATTATTCCATAGTTGTGTGACTGTATTAGGACCAGCACATTAGAATGTTACCTTTTTATATATATAGTCATTTATATATGTCAATACACTTTGGTTTTTAAACATAGTTTATTTGTAATATAAAGAGAAAATGAAGTTGAATTAAAAATAAAACATAACTCAATGTTTCATAGGTGAGGGGAAGTCTGGATAGATGAGACAGCATAGATGAAAGACTTCAGCTGCTGAGAATTTTGAGAAAGGAACAGGGACAACACAGAAACCAGCTGAGTAGAATGGTAGAGTAGCAGACAGAGAAGAAATATCTGAATCACTTTGAAGGTGAACTTTGAAGAAGTCAGTTGACTTCTGTGCTATGAAAGCAAAGCAAAGATAGATGACAGGAACACTGACTCAACTCAGTGAGTTAAGAGATGGCTTTGAGAATCAGAAGAGTGATTTTGAATGGAAAACAAACAGAATAAAAGCAAGTAAAATGAGACACTGTAGGACAGTAATGACATTTTTCTCATTTTAGGAGGTGGGAGAGAGAAGGAATTCTGTTAAGCGTTTTGTAGGTTTATTCTGAATTTGCTCCTTTTTGAAGCAGTTAGCGTTCTTCCAGGCGACATATTCATTGATGAGTTTCGCTTCCCTACATTTCTAGTCTGTGGTTTGCAAACATAATGGTTTGTGTATTCTTTATAAAAGCCAAGATTGGGATGGTAAAAGAATTTTAGCTGTATTTTTGAGTATTGAGGTTTTATTTTGGCTGTGTCTGAATCCACTCCTAGAGACCTAACCAAGCCCAACCTTAATTTAAAGTAAAACTATCTCATGCTCTCATTATCCTATATTAATACTTTTCAATTCCTTTGGCATATTGTGAAAGAAAAGCACGTGTTAATCCATATGAGCAGGCAGAAGTAGTGTACAGTGCTTTCAGATATTTTCATGTTTTGCAAAAAACGATAAATTCTCGCAGGAAGATGGTAGTGACTTTTTGTAATGTATGGGAAAACTAATGCATGAGGTGACTCTGAGTTTCCAAAGTTCGTGCTTTTTTTTTTTTTTTTTTTTGCTGCTGTTGAGTTTTGGTTTTTAGTGACATGCACTTAGTAAGAATAGTCAGATCTTAGATTCTAGAGAGTGAATGCTGTATCTTGCCTAGCTGTCCTGCTACAAGCTTGATGGAGGGGGCTTGGGATATGCCATTATGCATTTAGACATGAGTTATTCATTATTTTATATCTTTGTTTCTCTACACCTTTCCTCAAAGTACATTTAAAAGCACTTATTCATTATGAGCTACAGCCATAATAATGCAAAGAGTTGGCAAGCTTACCCATAAGGTGCCATCTGTGATGTAGTTTAAGGACTTGAAGATAATAAGAGGAGAATTTAGGGTGAATAGGGAAAAAAGATGTGGCTTTCTGTAAGACAGGACAGTGAAGTTTCCTAAGGTGTTAGCCATGAAATGTGACTGTTCAGAGACTCTTGTTAAAATCATACAGAGACTGACGGATACATGATGCGTAGATGTGGCGCTTAGGGACGTAGTTTAGTGGTTGGACTTGGCAGTGCTAGGTAAATGGTTGGATTTGATGATCTTAAAAGTCTTTTCCAACCAAAATGATTCTATGATTCTATGCTGTATACAGTTACGAGTTAATAACAACCCACGTGATAGCTAATACAACTCTGTACGCTCTGAATTGCAGGGCTCAAAGGTAAATACGACTTTTGTGTAATTAGTGAGAAAGACTCCCCTCTCTCTGTTCATCTGAGAGTTCAGTGATCCTCAGTGGCATGCACAATCACACTTTGTGTTCATGAGACCTTTATGATTTGGCCAAGTGCTCTTTTTTCCATTGTCTATGCTGCAGCCCAGAGGAATGCTGGACAGGTACGCAAGCTCAGCTGCTTCTGTCTTAACATCCTGGTGGCTTTTAAAATGTCCTTGGATAATCACAACTGCTGTCTCTTACATAAAGCTCTTCTGGGCCAGAGCGCTTTGAAAGGAAACATCTAAGTGGCAGGGGATATTTTGACCACCTAATTATTTATGGCATGCACATCCCCTGCTGTTTTAGCCCTGTGGGACAAACAAGTAAACTTGAAGTGTCAAGCTGTGAATTTACTTCAGGAAGACCTGGGCTCAGATGCATAGCTAGTTTTGAGCAGGGAGTTTGACAAGGTAGCCATAATAGCATCTTATGGAGAAGCTGTTTACAAGATGAAACTGAAAGTGTCTTTTTCCAAATCACTGATAAATATAGTTTACGCTGTTGCCTATTGGCAAATCAATCTGATGTTTTTCTTGGAAATTTGCTTCCTTTTGATAATATCCTAAATACTGTGGAGTGGGAATTGTTCTGTGAAATGCTGTCTTAAATTATATACAGACAATTGATTAAAACTATGGATTAGGGATATTGAGAGAACGGCAAAAAGAACTGCTGAATCCTTTTGACAGATGATTGTTCTACTTTTTCTGGGGGGTAATGTGCTGTTGAGTTGTGTCTGATGTTGACTTGTTTACTTTTCCTCTTCTTCCTTTATTCCAAATAATATCTTAATCCAAGAAGACAGTAATACAAGCATGACATGAAATACACTGAGTATTTTCTCAGCAGCGCTGTTGGGGAACAATATGTAACACAGCATTGCCATGTGTGACTAAAAACGTAGCAGTCAGGGTGCAATGGGAAAGCCAGGGGTTTTCCTATTCATATCTAGGGATATCCAGTTGTCCTTTATGCCACCTACAGTGAAACCTGAGTGCCTAAAATCCTGAATCTCAGATGAAGGTTTTGTTGGCTTATCTTTTGTCTCTTCAAACCCTTATTAATGCTTATGCTTCTTAGGGCTTCCCTGCCTGGCCTTGAAAACTGTTGTGTAGATACCTGGCCAGTGCAGATACTCTTTGTACCTGATGTCAGATGGGTGCTAATCTCCCACTTCACCACTCTCACAGTTCTGATTTAATTTGAGAGCCACCAAAGTTCAGTGGAGTGGCCTAAAAAGGTCCTCATTGTCCCAGATCACCTGACATGATGACAGTGGCCATCATTTGCAAATCATCATATAGTTTGAGAGCTCCTGCAGAAAGGTGGGAAGCTTTTGTTTTGACCAACACCTGAGGCTTCTGGGGCAAATGCAGTGTATTCTGCCTGTGAGGAACCCGTGTACCTTCGGGTAGAGCTCAACAGCCGTGCTTTGGGATGTATGTTTGGAAGCATTCCCAGCCTGGTGACTAGGTTAGACCAGAGTGAACTGAGAATGTGTCAGCTAAGGATGGTGCTACATTGATACATGTGACACGTGTCAAGTGGACAATTTTGCTAAACATCTCTCTTTCTTTCCTGCCCCCCACCCCACCCCTCCCTAGGGTTTGTGAACTAGAAGAATTGGGAGAACTGTCTCCTTGCTGGGAAAGCCTTCGTCGACAAATAGTTACACAGTACCAAACAATTATTTTAACTTATCAGGAAAATCTAACTGACCTGCACCAGTATAAAGGTGATTTCTTTTATGGAATAACGTGATGCTTCTTAACTGTGATTATTAGTGCTTCTCTGAGATTGGGAACCCAGAATGTTTTAGTTTGATGAGTAAAAAAAATACTATTTTTAGATTTCTTTATTAACATTTATTCTGAATTTACTAATGATCTGGGAATAATTGTATGCTTTATTTATTCTCTTATTTTACCCTTAGAGAACAATTATGAACAGTACAGAAAGATATCTTATTTTTTTTCTCTGCTTTACTTTCAGCATGTAGCAAATGATGACTGAAGCTTCTTGAATATTTTAGCATAAGGAGAAGCAGAGCGGTTTTATGCTAACTTTTCTCCTGTATTTCTCAGGTCCTTCATTTAAAGCCAGTAGCTTGAAAGCTGATAAAAAATTGGAATTTGTTCCTACGAATTTACATATACAGAGAATGAGAGTCCAGGATGATGGAGGATCAGGTATTTGGTTCTTTTTGTCTTTCTTCACCTAATTCTGTTACTTTTTTCTCCATTTTTTGATTTCTGTCCTTAACCATAAAGCCAAGTTTCTGCAAACTACTGCTCTGCAGTACTAGTGCTACTTGGGATTTTGTAGCACCTTCTATCCTCGGGTTCCAAATCTCTTAGCAAAAGAAGAGGTGTAAGTATAATTATTGCTATTCTACTGGTGGCAAACTAGGTTCTGGAGTTAACTTTACCCTACGTGACACAAGTCAGCCTTAGTACTGGGGAATATATTGAATTAAGCTGCTGTGTCCCTTCCAGTCATTTTGGATTGTAGCAGAATAGCAAAGGTTCTGACTGTTTTTTGTTGTTAAGCTTGTGCACTTTTTCTCTGGAACCATCATGTACAGTTATGCAAAATTACAGCAGTTTGTTCATATCAAGCTTGTTTCTTCATAAATAGCCTAGGTTTATCCTTCTTTTAACAGTAATTTCCACTAACCATGGACACACGCTTGTCCCATGTATCCATATGAGGCATCCCAGTAATGGCAGGTTTTGCGTAAAGACCAATGTTCAAAGCTTCCTTTTCACTGTTAGTCTTCTAGATTAAGAAGCAGACGACCTGCATTCAAGTATGGTTCTTTCTACTTCAAAAGTACTTCATGGATTTCTAGGGCCTCTGAAACAATTGTTTTCCGTGTCCTTCAAAACACTGGCACAAAGTTTTACAAAAATTACTTTCAGTGTAGTTTTTCAATTTCCACAATTGGTTGTCCGCAGTAAAGTTGACAAGCTTTCATTTGTAAGTCCTTTTTGTCCATCCCAGATCAGAACTACGACATAGTCACCATAGGAGCACCAGCAGCTCATTGTCAAGGCTTTAAATCAGGTGGCTTGCGGAAAAAGCTCCATAAATTTGAAGAGGCAAAGAAACAGTAAGTAGAAATGTTATTCTGTCAGCTGTTATCATGTCTTTTCCTCCTGGTCCATGCTCATGATTTGGAAAATCATTCCATTCTATGTTTTTGTTGCACTTCATTCAATAGTTCTACTATACAATGTGAAGATTATTCCCTGTTTTTTTTCCAAAGGAGAGGGAAAACAGTTTCCTCTTTGCATTACCATCTGTGTTTGTTTACTGATGGGCCCTTTCTAATAGTCTGTTTAGTGAAATCTTTATTTTTCCCGAATACTTGTTGCTTCATTTAGTTTAGCTATTTTGAGTGTTGGGTTTGGGTTCTGCCTAATTGTGGATTAGAAAACTTGTCTGTAGAACCTCCTCAGTGGCGCTACATCATGTTTTCATATATTCGGGACACTTTCACCCCTCTCATAGCTTCAAGGTCCTGTTGCTGAACTCTCTTTAGTACAGAACAGCTGTGCCTGACAGGCAAATTCCTTGTTGACAATTTGGGTTTAGTTCTGAGACTATTACTGAAGGCTCAAGGTTTATGCACAGTTGAGGCTTCTCAATCTGGCCTCTACTCTACGCTACTGGCAGGATACTTGACTTTCACAGTCCTGTCTTCAGGGACTGCCTGGTGACCTCTCTGAAAATGCAACCATATATAAGAGTGAGGGGCAGAAATTGAGAAGGTCATGTACGCTAAAGGGGGAGACCTGCATGGCACCCACTCCAGCTCCCAAGGAAGAGATAATGCTGTCTGAGTCTGTGTTACTTTTGCTAAAGTATGGAGAATTTAAGGAACAAATGAGAGCAGCAGGACAAGGAGTCATTGTAACCAGGGAAAAGGAGACCTTGATAATGCCGTTCCAAAGAAAAGATTTCTAGGATTTGGAGCTAATGGGAGGAGGGATTGATGTGGGAATCAGGCTCTTCCAACTGCAGAATTAGTTTTGGCATTGGAGAAGAGAATAACAGCATTCTGTGAACATCAGTCAGATATGTACTGATAAAAAGATTGGTGCAAAAATTATGTGTAATTATTCCTGATTTACAGAGTGCGCTAGGATAGGACTAGAAGGAACTGTAAACCTGGAAACATTGGTATGCTAGGTTCACCCTTCTTGTTCTTTTGATGCCATTTATTGCTTTCTGAAATAACCTTCTGTCAGCTTAGTTGCTGAAGTGGGCCTCACTCCTGCAATATCTAAGCTCCTGTCTTCTCCCTGCACCCCCCCCAGTAATTAAGCTGATTGGAGAGCTTAATTTCTATCCCATACTTTTCCTCTAAGCTTTACGGAACTGTTCTTTCTGGATCCATAAAAACTGCAGGTTCAACATTGGAAGAATAACTTTCCTTTTAAATACTTTTATCATGAAAACCAGTATAGTAGAACTGAGATCCATCTCCTCAGTTTCACTGTTACATAGATATTGTTCAGTTCTTTCTCCTTTCATTGGTAAAACTGTGCTTGCTGCACCCACAACATTTCCCCAGAACAACACATGGGCATCTGGCAATCTGTGGTTTTTTTTGCTTACAAGTTTAATTGTTACGTACTTGCCGTGTTGAAAAGATGACTCAAATAAGTTATTTCCCCAAACATCTTTTGTTTTGTTTTCTGCTTTTGGTATTTGCTAACAATCTGCTAATTTTATTTTGGTTTTTTGTTTTTTTAGCAGTTATGAGGAGTGTTGGTGAGTTTTCTGTTTCTGAGAGTTCTGTAGAGAGGGTTTCTGTTCTTTGGGTTGTTTTATTTTTCTTTTCTTTCTTTTCTTTGGCAAAGATCTGGTGTGTGTTACAGTGTGCAGGGCTTTTTAATGTCGTGCATCATGGTATCCCTAATTGTGCTCTAAGTAATTGTAGCTGCTTTGTAGAACATAATGTGTGAATGAATTTCATTTCATCTGCAATGTTTGTTTGTAATGAACAGCTAGCTTCCTGGCTCTCTCTGATCATAAGCAGTTAGAAAGCTGAAGATCAGAACACGATTTTATATCTTTTCCTCTGTTATTTCCAGTGAAAACTGCCTGGAGAGAGAAACGTTCTGCCAAAGGTGGAAGATAATTACGATAACTCTACGTATTTTTAAATCTTTATGTTGCTAGATTGGGCATGGTTTATATTTTTGTAACCCATGTCTTCATTTAAACATTTTCACTTAACTTTTGTTTCTGTTAGTTCATGTTGGGGTGTTCAATGCTATGAAAAGGGAACATTACTTTGATGGTTCAACAGCACAGAAGTTCTCCTCTAAATTACTTATATTAAAGGTTGAATCCCTAATTCACTGAGAGTTTGAGGCTGTGTTAAGTTTGCTGATACAGTAAAATGAGAGCTGTTCATTTGAAAAAGCAATTGCAGGTTGGAAAGTAAATATACATAAACTTCACACTATAAATTTTTCTCCCTGATCATCCCAGCCAATGTTTGTGATTAAGAATGTAATAATTCTAAATCAGATCTCAATATGCTGCATGGCCTTTCCTGCCAAATATGTCTTTATGCATGTTAACCACACTGTCGTGGAAAGAAATTGCTCAGAGGAATTGTCACTAAGATCACCGGTCAATGGAGAGCACAAATCACGTACAGGGAAAGTCCTAAAAGCTGAGATTAATTTGCTGTATGGCATAGCAGTACTGGGGAGTGTTTGTTCTCTGCTCCACTCAGGTGGGTGACCAGAGGGACACAAGTAAGGAAACTCTTTGAAGAATCACTTCTGCATTATATCCTTTGAAAACAAATCCCCCATTTTTTCTTGTAATGGAGCCCAGCCAGATACTGGGCTTAAGCTGCCCTCTTGCCTTAATATTAATTAAGGGACAACTGCGTTTTGTGGGAATGATTTTGAAGCGTGCCGCATGCAAGCCTCCTGTCTTACCTCACAGACACACTGCAGCAATTAACATCATTGCTCTAGGGGTAGCAGAGGAATTCACACTCCTTGGAGGTCATGATCTGAGGTAACTGTGCCTGGAAAAGAAACTCCTCTCTGTGTAGTCTCTCAGCGTAGCTGTGTCCATTGAACAGCGCTGACATTGGTGCGAACAGTAGGTTCTTCTGTGCTGTTAGTACGCTGAAGCCATTCATGACTGGAAAAAATGAATAAAATTAAAGTAACATACAATTGGTGTCACCTCATGCTTGATGCCATGTCGTGAACGGGCAGCACACTTGCCACAGCTGGAGCTGGTGTAAAGGCCTGATCTTTGTATAGCTTTCCTACTGGGAGGAAAAAAACCCAGTATATTCCCTTGCAAAGGGAGTAGTGGTGGGTTGGTTCCAAACAGTTAAATAAGAGCACAACTTCAGCTTAAAGTAATTTTTTAAGCTAAAAGGCAGCTTTTGTGAATGGCTCTTCTCAGGTAGGATTAAATCACCCTTTAGAAGTGCTGTTCTCTCTGCCACAGTTACAATCCGAGTCCAAGCATGTGTCTTGAACTGGATAAGCAACTTCTGTAGACATCTAAACTTAGAGGACATGAACTATTCTCCTCCACTGCCAAGTAAGCGATCTTAGTGGAGCTGCAGCATCCCAGTATAAAGATATGTATTCTTGGTATAGTTTATTTCCCTTACTATTTGGAAAAGTATAAAATTTGGTCCTGCTTTATATTGTTATGGCTGAGTTTATAACAGGGAGATTTGTACCATGTCCTAGTTTAGCATAGTAAGTGTGTGCTAACAGAAACTAAACCAAGGAGAGAGTCCTTAGACTAGCCTGGAGATATACTTTACATATCGTAAGATTGCTTTTGCTGGTGTAACTTGAATCAGGCCTGCAACAGAGGGAAGGATATACTAGCAGAAGGAATTTTTGTTAATATCGTCGTGTTTGCACTACAGATCTTCTGCATTAGAAGGAGTGCAGATTTTCTTTTCATGGTGCTAGTAGCAATGTGATAATGCAAGTTTGTAAACCAAGCCTCAGGGAAGTGTCTGTGTGGTAAGGAGAGGGAGAGTGGGGCAAGCTGTCTCTGCAAACAGTGGTTCTGTCTCTGATAGCAAAATCTATCACCCACATTCTCCTCAGCAAAATTGTCCCCCCTGGTATCCTAGCTCTGCCCACAGTCCCTTGGCATAAGGGATTAGTAAATTTGCATCTGAATGCTTTCAGTAAAGGCAGAGAAGGCTCTAGGATCATGTTCCTGCTGTGCAATTGCCCACTGGTCTTTCACTGTTGATTGCTAGCTTAGGTAAATTTTTGTTGTCTGCCGTTAATTCCCCAGCATGCCACTGTAATGTGTGTTCCTCTAGATCAATTTTCCCCCTAAAATTAGTCTTTCTTTTTCAGCACATCAACAAGTTCCCAGTCTATAATATACATCCCACAGGACATTGTTAGAGCAAAGGAAATTATTGCACAAATTAACACCCTGAAAACGCAAGTCAGTTACTATGCAGAAAGACTCTCAAGAGCTGCCAAGGATAGATCAGCTAATGGCCTTGAAAGAACACTTGCCATCCTAGCAGACAAGGTAGGAGAATAGTACATTTCCACACTGAAGTACAGTGTATTTTTTTTCCTCTGTCTCTACTAGGTTTTCTTGAAAGATCTGTTTTACCTTGTTCAGTAGTATATTGTAACAGGTACAGTCCTAAAGAAAAAGCAAAATCAGACCAGCCTTTAAAATTTGCTGCTTTTTATTTACTCTCCTACTTTTCATAGTCTTGCCTTCACCTCCTCTTGAGAGGGCAGTGGAGAGCAATGTCCTCTGGTTCCCTCTATTCATTCATCATATTCCAGAAATGTGCATTCTTCATTTTCTTTGTTTTCTCCATAACCACCTGCTTTTTTAAAATGTTCCTCTTGAGTCATCTGTCAAGCAGCAGCAACTAGGCAAAACTTAAGTAAATGAAACAATTCTATATTTTTCCACTGGTGAAATAAGGGATAATGTTGACACAGCCTTTGCTTGAATTATAGTGATGTGAATAAGTTATTTCTTGATGGGTGCTAACAGAAACCAGACTGGACTCACAGCCGAACACAAGCTTATTTACAGGAACAAAAACCCAAATACAGTTTTGCTGACCTCTTCCGTCCCTGAAGCAGATCTGAAGGTTGTAAATGGCAGTAATGGCCAATCAACTTGCCATAAATTGTCCCAGTGGAGAGGATATGTGTACAACTTTGTAAAGTGCAAAAAATAATGTGACCCTATGTAAACGTATTATTTATTATAGGATTCACTCTAAATGAGTACAGTGTGTTTAACTGATCTGTGGGATTTTCTGCAGCTGGACAATGTATGTATATAACATAGTAAGGGCTTGTTTGTTGAATTGGGTTTTTTTATAGACATACAGGCCAGATACTTTTCATATTCACATAACTTATAGAAATCCTTTGATACGACACCACTAAATAAGAGTCAGTGTTGTAGTTTAATTCCAGCTGGTAACCAAACACCATGCAGCCGCTCGCTCCCCCCCTTCCCCCAAGGGGATGGGGAGGAGAAGGGAAAAAACCCAAACTCATGAGTTGAGATAAAGACAGTTTAATAGGATAACAAAGGAAGACAGTAGTAGTACTACTACTAGCAGTAATAATAATGATATCTAAAACAAGTGATGCACAAATGCAATTGCTCACCACATGTGGAAGGGTAAAAAACTAACCCGATGCCCAGCCTGTTTCTAAGCAGCGATCCCGCCTCCTGGCAACTTCCCCAGTTCTATCCAGAGCATGACATTACATGGTCAGGAATATCCCTTTAGCCAGTCTGGGCCAGCTGTCCTGGCTGTGCTCTCCTGGCTCCTTGTGTACCTGGCAGGGTGTGAGAAGCTGAAAAGTCCTTGACTTAGTGTGAGCACTACAACTACCTAGCAACAACTAAAAACATCAGTGTGTTATCAACATTATTCTTGTACTAAATCCAAAACACAGCACTATACTGGCTACTAGAAAGAAAATTAACTCTCTCTCAGCTGAAACCAGGACAGTGGGTTATATCTTAAGCCTTCCTCTTAAGTCTTGTTATGATTTCAGACAGGATGGTGGAGGTTAGCATGGTGTCTCTGGTGTGGCAACTATTGTGTGGGGTGCAAAAATGTCTGCATTTCATCAAATGGAAAGTGAAGTGCAAATAAAGGTGAATTGCACATTTATTAGTGAAATTTTGAACAATTGCAAGGCTAATATAGTAGTACAAACTTCGGAAATGTACCATTTGTGTTTTGGTGCCCTGTATTGCTTTTTAAGGACATTCTGTAAAATGATTTTAAAGGCACCCAGTTAGTTTCTTTTAAAGAATACTAGTTCTTTTTTCTTTCTGAGAAAGAATATAGAATACAGAATAATGAAAAAATGTTAAAATGTGGGGGGGTTATTTCTTTGTAGACCCGGCAACTTGTCACAGTCTGCGACTGCAAGCTGTTGGCAAATTCAATACACGGACTGAATGCTGCAAGGCCAGACTATATAGCTTCAAAAGCATCTCCAACCTCTGGAGAAGGGGAGCAAGTGATGCTGAGGAATGATCAAGATACACTTGTGGCCAGATGGACAGGAAGAAATAGCCGATCTTCTCTGCAGGTGGATTGGCATGAAGAGGAATGGGTACGTTTGCTTAGTGAAAAGATTAATATTTTCTTCTTTTTAGTTTTTGTTTGCAGTGTTCTTTTGTTTATAAGCTCTGTAACTGCTCACCAGATGTACATAGGATGACTATTTTGGAGGTATTAGTCAACTAGCAAAGACGGTTCTTCCATCCTATGCTCAGTCAGTCCTTGGGCATGGGGATACAAACAGGCCTGAATATATATTTCTGGATCTCCTAAACAGCGGAGATTGTTACAGTAGGCACATGGCTTTTCTCAAGTTGGTTCCAAGGGAAAGTAAATGTCTTTTGAAGTAAAAAAACTAACCATACTACAAATGGCTCTTACAGTTCTCCAAGATAAAGTATATTTTGCATGTGTTAGCTGTACAACTCAGCCTCCCTGGCTTTTATTCTCATATAAATATTTAGAACTTGCAGTCCATCTCTGTTTTGATTATGAATAGCATTTTAAAATTGTTTGCACAAAGAATTTAAATGGTCTTCCTTACCACACTGCCAGTTGAAATGAGAATTGGGCTGTGTAAATTCTGTCATTGTGTAATATAAACAGAAGTGAATTAACTCTCAAAAATAGTCAAGATTAATTAAAACCATTATTAATGTTGCAAAATACCAACTTGGAAATGAGATCCAATTCATTTTGGAAATGGATCCTTGCTAGTTTTAATTGTTTTGGCATACTTTGACTTACAGTCAAAGTCACAGTAATGAGATATGAATAAAGGCAATTCAGTTATTTAGACAGTAATACAATACAGTAATTTTATCTGTTATTCACTGAGTTACATGGGGAAAAAAGATGTGTGATTGTATACAGTTATTAAGTCAAACATGAGATTCAAGAATAAACAGTAGTGCCAACTGGAAATTGGAATAATAGCGCAGGGAAAAGCACTTAAAATTGTTCAGCAAATTTACTTAGAAAAACAGGTTTGCAATTTACCACGCAAGTCATGTCGCTACATATTGTTGACATGGTGGTATGCATTATTTAAATATCCAGAGTTTGTGTGTGCACAAATGTAAACATCATAGCCCATAGGAAACTTTGCAAAGGAATTGTGACTAGAATGACAGGAGGAAATATATTGCCAAGGGATTTGTTACCCAATGTCTCTTTTCTTTTTAAATTGAGAAAGAAATGTTTTCTTTTAAGGAGAAAGTTTGGTTGAATGTTGACAAAAGTCTGGAGTGTATTATACAGAGAGTGGACAAACTTCTCCAGAAGGAGCGCTTGCAAAGTGACAGCTGTGAAGATGTTTTCCAGTGCGACATCAGCTGTACTAGTAAGAAAGGTAATCGGGACACTCGCGCCTACTGGATAAATCCAGAAGATGTAAATGAGACCTCATCATCCTCACCACCTTCATCATCCTCACCACCTTCATCATCCTCACCACCACCTTCATCCATACCATCCTGTGCATGCCATTCTCTCAGAAAGACAAGTGCGTATGCCAGACACTGCTTCTCACTGCTGCTCTCTTGCTGTGCGCTGGCATCATTCCCAAGCCTCCGTTACATCCTTCCATGTGTTTTTAGTTCAGTGGTGGTGCTAAGCACTGATGTCAGACAGAAAGGGCTGGTGGAGTACTGGGAGCTGCTAAGCCCATGACTTGTTTTGAAATCCTGATCCCACTGAAATCGTTGCCAAATCCATTGATGACAGTGGCATTTGGTTTTCATGCTGGGTGTTTTAAGCTGGTAAAACAGATGTTTGGGTTAGCATATGTCAAACACCACCTCTGGTAGCTTTCCTGTTGGCTTCAGCTTCTTTGCAGCAATCAAAGTTTATTACAGTGAACCTCTCTATAAGAGATAAATAAAACATGAGAGAAGTGCAAGCACTACTGCAACACTAACGGTCCCAACTGGGCTGCCAAAGCATAGGAGGGGAGCCAAGGAGTCCCATTAGACTGAGCAGAACTTGGATGAACCTGCTGGAGTTTAAAGCAAATTTTAACCCAAATTGTCAAAAGCTGTGCTACTGAGGTACTCAATTGGTTAGACTTCTTGTAGCTGGAAGGTAGGAATTGGCAGTGCAAGCTCCAAGTGGAATAATCCTATCAAAATTTGAGGTAAAATGGATGCTGGATTGAATCCAGCATAATGCCATGAGCATGTGAATGAAAGATATTCTTATCAGTTTAGGTTGACAGTTTTGCAGCCGTGCATTAAATTTCAGAATTATTTCATTTACATATTTAACTTATTCTCACATTCTTTACATGTGGTCACTATGATTTGGCCCCTTAATAGAGCAAGTGTGCTAAGTTAATCTCTAGAAAGACTGATTTGTGTTTTCATTTCCTTTTTTCTGTTTTGTCTTATCGTTTGATGGCCCTTTGTCCCTTACCTGTGTCTGTGACTTCATGTCCATCCCATTGTTAATGTTGCAATGGAAGGCAGTACCGTAAGAAAAAGAAATCAAGAAGGAAGTTAAAATAAACGTTAATATATTTTTGTATAGCTTTGTACATGTTACATGTGATTTGCTTAGTATCTTAAATGACCACGTTTTTCTAAATTAGACTGACATTTTTGTGTATTATAAAGGAATAGGAGAGTTGGTTATTGTTTCAGAATGTGTTCTCTATTAATCGTTGACTAAATTTCTCCTACCAGTTTGATACCTTGAAATGTTTTTATTTGATAGCTAGTTTACATGAAGCTTTATATGTATTTACATGAAAGTTTTATCAGTAAACTTCAGTGCACCTTCATATCAATGAATAAAAGTTGTGGATTTTTAATATTAAAAAGCATAGGAAAAATCTGTGGTGGGTGATATCAGAAGCTGTCCCCAAAACAATTTGATGCTGAAAGCATCTTAAAACAATCATTTGCTTTCATTTTCAGTTGATCTTTTAAATCTGCTATACATCTTGACACTTATGCCATATAAAAGTGGAATTAGCTGCACTTGCCTACCAAAGGTTTTGTTTGTGCCAAGAATTTCTGTAACATTTCCCTGCTGTTCCTCCAAAATAGTAAAAAAAAAATCTTTCCATGTAATTCAACCTGGGATAGAAACATTAAATCAAGAAGTGTAGCAAGCTTTAAAGCTAAGGGGCTTGCTGCCATTTCCCAGTGCTATCGTAAGTGTAAAGACTAGATCTGAAGTCTGACTGTCAACCAATGTTGGGTGAATTTAACTTAAAAAATCCTAGAGAGGGAATCCTATTTCTTAGGTATCTAGTGCAAACATTGTTCGTAAGTCTTAATAAGCAATTTGAATTGCACTTGGGAAGTTTATTGTAAGCCAGGGCAAGCCAAATACTTGATTACGTTCTCATCAGATGTAGTTCCTAATTAATGGTCAGGATTTTTAACAGAGGAACAGGTTCAATACTATGAAAAAACTGGTCTTACTGAAGTGAATGGGAATTTTCCCATTGGGTTACTTTCCTTGACTCCACATTAAACCTGACTTGTTAAATGGTTTTAAACTAAAAGAGGTAGATCTAGACTAGATATAAAGAAGAGATTTTTTACAATGAGGGTGGAGAAACAGTGGAACAGGTCGCCCAGAGAATAATTAAGGGACAAAGAAGATCCTTTCTCTAAGTTCAGAATCACAACATTTTTAAAGTTTTTCCTTGTCATATATTCAAAGAACTAATACTTTTTCTGTTTGTTAGTAATTCTGAGTTTTGAATAAATCACGCTGAGCAGGGAGCAGCCAGATTTTTTTTAAAGAAAGGTAACAACCAGCAAACCAAGATAGTTCCAGAAGTGGTAAGAGAGAGACAGTAGAATGTTACTGAAGGACTTTAGAGGATCTCTCTAGAAACAAATGTTTGTGAAAAAAAAATACTGCCTGAAATAGTAGAAGGGAAATTTATTAAATTCTTTTCAAATTTATTTTTGTTATAGGGTTAGGTATTCATTACTAAAATTGCATGGGGGCATATAGCTTCTTTGATGAACACAATGAGTTTTAATGTACTGAGAGGTTTTTATCTCAGGATGTCTAGCTCAGCTGATTGTCCTAATGGATAAAATTGAATTTGATATTTTCTGTTATTTTCAAATTCACAATTCATTGACTAGTCAATCTAGATTTAAACAGAAGTTTAAATCCTATTAATTTAATAAACTACTTTTCATTAATGCAAGACTTGCTCTAACAGGATGTATGTTACTTTTTTACTGTTTGCATTGCACTGTAGTGTATATTCATCTGACAGCTTTTTCCTCCCACTGAAGTGAGTGTGGAACACTCACAGGCTTCACTGGTGAGGTTTCAGCCCTTAATATATAACCTAATGCTTGCGTTAATGATCTCAGAAAATGTGTAACAGAAATTTGTCTAAGATAGCAAAGTGCTGTTTCTTTATTACTCTTGAGTTGTGGGTGCCTTAATGTCATTTTCTGTTAAGTGCATTGAACTTACTGCTAGTCTTTTGCTATTCTGTTTAGCAGCCTTGCTGCCGGCTTATTCTGTAATTGCACTAAACCAGTGGTTCTCAAATTGTGCCCTGTGGATCACTGGGGATTGCTGGTAATCCACAGAGAGCCCCTGAGCTAGCGGGTACTGGCTTTCCTCCAAGTCCCCATCCAGGTGTTCCTCTGATCAGAAACAGTGGAGTGGAGGAGACAGCCCATGCCCTCGGTGCCCACAGGCAAAGGACTCTCTCTGCTGAGTTCCTCTTCACTCGGTGAAAGTGTTTGAGAACCCTGGCATTGAGCATTTGAGTTGCTTATGTTTAGACTGTGTTGCTGCTCCTTAATCATGCATGTTGCCCCTCCATTTCTGTGCAGATTGCAGCCCCACTCCGGAAGAATCTGGCCCAGGTATGTGCATTCATGGCTTCTGCTTCTTCTGAAAATTGCAGGGGTTTGTTCATAATTAACAACTGAACAAGTGCCTTGCTGTTAAGATTGAGCATTTTGAAATGGCAATGCTCTGCAATATCACGTGAGTTACCTAAGCATATTGAGAAGTTATTATTTCCTAAATAATAGTGCAAGGGGGTATCTGGTAACTTCTCATGCCCACGTATGGGAGAGCACTTGTTCACAGTCTCTGGTTTCTCTAGTTGATGTGTTTTAGCAAACTGTTGTAGGTGACAATGACTCGAGGCCTGTTCCAAATGTCATTGAAGTTTGTGGGAGTCTGACATTTCAGACATGCCCTTTCATATGTGCTGTTGAGCTGGCCTTTCTGATTGCGAACTCGAGCAGAACATGGAGCAGTCAACAAGGCTGATGGAAAATCTCTGTTATGGGTACAAACCAATCAATGTTTGGCACGGCAAATCTAATGTTTCAGAATACAGAATTTAGGAGATTTTCCATCCCATCGTTAGCCTTATTTTCTCTGTCCTTGTACTTCCACACACTCATGTTACATTTAAAAGGTCTGAATAATATGCCTGTGTAATACCACTTTCTCCCAGCTAGATGGCTGTAATTTCTCCCATTTAAGAGTAGTTTAGTCTGAGTTCAGTGAAGGTTCAGTCTTTGAACTGTTACAGCATGAACTCCTGGGTTTAGTGAAACCAATGGGAAATAAAGCCCCAGTGCAGATATGATTTTCATCTTCACAAACTATATTAATGTTCTTCTCAGCTTTCCACGCTGTTTCCTTCTATCACTGAGAAAATGTTTTTAATCAGTAAAAGACTCCACAATTTTTTAATTCTTGGAACATCCCTTTAGTTTTTTGCAAAATATGATTGTGGTGCATCAATAAATGCTAATTATTTATTTTTAAGATAGGAGTAATTAAAAGCATTCCGGTTACTGCAACTGGGTACCCAGATATACCCAAAACTGCATCTTGAACTTAAGCAGCTGAAGTTGCAGTGTGGTGAAGCAATCAATGCTTGCCTCTCTTGAAGCCAAATGTGATGTGACTGTGTGCTTAAGTGGGTTGCTAATTGTACTTCACTGGACCAGGGTTAAGCAACTACCATTTTTTAAATAATATTTTTTTAGACATCGTGAGTCCTTGCAAACCTGACCTAAACCAAGGGCAACTGCAGGTGCCCAGAACTTTGATTTATGGCTGCTAGGGTTTTTTTAATATGAAAAAACTAAAAATATCTTTTCAAGGCTCTGGAGGACAGTTATTTTAATAATATTTTTATTGTTCTGAAGAAGAGAGTCTCTTAGGGGGAAAAAGCAAAAACGTTTCCCACCTGGCATTACATCCTTGATTTATACAGGCTTTATGTATTAGGTTCTCTTAACAAGACATTATTTTTTTATAAAATAGTCGGTAGCGTATAGTCAGAGAAGGTCCACTATGTGAACTCATAGGCCTTCCCAGCATCCCTCCCTTGCTACCTCCTCACCCCTCCCCTTTTGAAAATCCCACATTTCAAAGCGTACATTAAGGTGTGACTCTGGCCAGCAGCAGTCATAAATAGCAAAGACTTACGGGGCCAAGTCTGGCCCTTATTTACCGGCCAGAATTCAGTTGTAGCTGTCTGAGTGGAGACTGCAGGGTTTGTCTCTCGCAGTACAATATAAAGCACCTAAAGCAAATGACAGGCATCCTGCTGGTTTGTACAATGCCACTTAAATGGAGTAACTTTTAACATGAACTGTAAACCTCTGATTTAAAAGCAGGATTTGTGTCCCGAACCTATCAACAGCTAGCTTGGATTAGGTCTCTGGCTGTTGTAAATCTGTAACAACTTGTTACATCTCCATTGTTTCAGGTCCTACGCCAAATCATTCTACCTATGGATCTGCCCACTGGAGTTTAGAATAGTTTTAAAAACTTCTGGTCATCTCATAGAACATAACAGCAGAGGTCAGAGTAGATTTCACATTAGACTTGGTGCCTCAGGGTGTTTGAAGGTGCCATTCATTGACTTGATAGAAAATATACTTCCAGTAATAAAGTTCTTAATGAGGGGAGGACAGAAGGACAGGAAAATCCAGGTGAAAGTTGAACATTTAGGGTCCGTTCACATTTATTTAAACACTGCCAGTGAAATGTTCCAACCTGATTGGAGCTGGGAGTGCAATTCCTTTTATTCCTGTTTACTGTTAATAGCAACCACCATTGACTAAAAAATTAAAAGACAACAGGTAACACCTCTATGAAGTAGGTAGCAAAAAAGCATTTAGAATTTTGCAGACTGACAAGGATTTGTTTTTCATGGCCAAAATTTTAATCCAAGAGAATACACAGCACAGAGGATTTTTGCTCATTACCCCAGATGAGCCACTGCATTGCATGTGAGTGTTGGGAGAAAAGAAACATCTAACAATTGCTTTATCTTCAGGCAGGCTGGTATACCACCAGTGTACTTTGTGATTACCACAGATAAACATATCTTTCAAATGAAGTGCTGCCAGACACACAGCAAATTTAAATCACCGCTGAGTTAATAACTATATACATGTATGTATATCCAGGCAATGAGATGATGATGATGTGCTGGAAGATCATTTCAGTTCTTTTTGTCGTTCTCATTTGTTTATAGAAAAGCTCTTAAAAGCAGTAAGAGAAACACTGTTTAGTATCATCTGTGTTTTGCTTTTTAAGTGTTCGCGAGGCCATGTTATGGCATCTGATTTATTTTGACATAAAATACTTAATAGAATATAAAAGACAAGCTGTAATTCCTTGCCTATTCTTTTGATGTTTCCTGCTTTTTTTATGGCAATGGAACAGAGCCAAACAACTTCCCCTTTGTGTAGTTTATTAGGTTATCTATCTATCTACCACACAGAACAAAAGCAAAAAGGATAGTTCTGTTAATCTTACCAGTTATGTTTCCGTTAGCAGACTTCCAAAGTTCCCCTCTTTGGCTGGTTATCAAAGAAACGCTTATTATTACTAGGTCTTAGTCCTGCCTTTAAGTCACAATCCCAACTGACTTCCTTTCAGAGGCTTGAAGTGCCCCATTCATGCAGGTTCTGATCTGTACATTGCCTCCTTCCTACAGCCAACCGGGCTGGGGGTCGTGCGTGTTCTGTTTGTGAGCTCCCGTGCTTTTTAGAAATAAACCACATTGTCCTTCCCTTTACAAAGAGAATGGTTCTTCTGTTTCAACCTTACATTAAGGAGGGCAAAACCAAAGCACTGTTCTGTTTTCTTTTTATATTGCAGAGCAAATGGATTTTGGTATAGCATCTGCATTTTTTTGTACAGTCATGGAATTGGGTTTTTTAATTGGTGGTTGATTAAGACAAAAGATGAAAGAAGGAAAGAAAAGAAGCTGAGCTTGTGGGGCATTTTAAGGCAGAGCAGTCTTTTAGGGAGAAAGAAGGCACAATGTTTGGGGTACTAAAATAGGACTTTGGCAACCCAGTTTCATTTCTGTGCTCCCTGTGTAGGACCTTGAACAGAGTCCCTCTGGGACATATCTCATGTATTTCAGTAGAAGTCAAGCTCTGAACTACTTCCCAGGATCTGGCTAACTCTCATCTAAATCACTATACTTAGTGTTTCTTGCTAGCTAGCTCTAAGCCTTCAAAGCCACTCAGCAGACAGAGGACACTTAAAAGAGTACCTACATGAATTTTTCACCTCTCTGCCTTATTACTCCTATGCTGCAAATGGGAGATAAGCATCATCTTACCTCACTGAGATGCAACAAGGATCAATAAGATGGTGAGGCAGTTGAATGGTACACTTACAAGTCCACAAAAGATTCAAAGGCAAGATATTTGGGAGCAATCTCATTGGCAGAAATGGCTAAGCAGACATTCACTGTTTCTCTTATACAATGGACTCCATACTGTCTGTCCAAGTATGCACTGTGAAAGGGTGTGTTTGAACATGCACACACAGCGATATACACTTGTGTGTAAAGATACTCATCTTTCTGTTATACTTTCCAAATCAGCTATTGTATAGCCTGTTCTGTGGGCACAAATCTGGGAGCTATTACATGGTCAGGAAAGTCATAACAACCTTACAGAGTGAAATTCTCCATATTTTCCTCTCACTCTGTAAGATTACTTAATTAAAAACAAGCAGGGAGTAACCAGCCAGCCAAAATAAAACAAGGCCTAAATGTGAATTATCAACAACTTTGATTTGCAACAGCATGTTTCTTCTTAATTCATGTTTGTTTGTTTCAAATAAAGTAATTTTTTTCTTTTAACCAGGTGAATGGAGCGAAGCTCTTTATCCCTTGCTGACGACACTCACAGACTGTGTAGCCATGATGAGTGACAAGGCAAAGAAAGCCATGGTCTTTTTATTAATGCAGGACAGCGCCCCGACAATAGGGCTCTGCCTGAGCCTTCAGTATCGCAGGGACGTTGTCTTCTGCCAAACTGTAAGCAAGCAAATATGCATGTTTGATTGCACTTTGATGTGTGGTGGGGTTTATATGAAATGTGAAAGATGACCGTTTTCAGAATTTTCAGATCTGTTCTACTCTTGGGTTTAACACTCTGATCTCCTCTCACAGGCTGTGCTATCCTGTCTTTACTGGTCACACATTTGACAATATATAACTTAATAGTCCTCTTGGATATACATTCCCTATATAAAAAAAAATAATTCCAGAACTCGTGAAAATACACTGCTGCTTACAGAAACAACCTTGGCCTTCCAATGCCACTAAACTAAAACCAGAAATAAAATGTGAAAAGAGGGTGGGGGGGAACCCATGAGCAGTAAGTATACTCCTTTGGCTACCTTTTGTTGTTTTCTGCATGAAGAAAACCAACAGGACCTGTGGTACCTAAGGGGAGAAATCCAGCTACAGGGAGCGAAATGAGTGCTGTTTTTTGTTTTGTGTTTGTTTGTTTGTTTTTTCCTAGAAGTTGTTTCTGAGCCTGCTGGGGTCTCTTGTGTAAGCCACTGATTAGCAGGTGTCTGCATTAAAAAACCTTCCACATTTCTTCTGCCCACTACACTTCTGTAGTGTGTCTACTTCCCCATGAAATCAGTATCTCATTCATTTATTTCAAACAGTTTATCTCTTGGACATTCTTTGGTAGGGCTGTTGTCCCAAAATGTAATATCTCATAGAGATAAATGAAGGGAATTTTTCTATACAAAACCCACTTCATATTGCAGATAATTTTTAAACTCAATGCTTTGAATATCTTTACCCATCATAAACAGAATTTTATTCCCTTCTGTTTAATTCTGTAACAAGGTCATACACTTGTCATACATAACATACACAAAGTCCTACATAGCATATGGCAATCACCTGGGAAATTCCTTTGTTGATGGAGTGAATTCAGACTAGTACTAGTCTTAGATCCTAGTACTGATCTTAGTACTAGGTCTTCAGGACCTTGTCCTGAATATCTCATAACACTAGGGTTTGAATCTTTGCATGATGCAAACAGGTATTGCATTTTTAAGCTTTCTTAAAATGTCATTTTTTTAAAAAAAATCATTTATTCATACTATCAAAATTCACGGCCTGGAACTAGCTGTGTTGCTTTTCCATGTGAGCAATTCTCCAAGGAGACTCTTTTGTGATTTCTAAGTTGTAGATCCTAATACAAGTGATTGTGTCCAGAAAACAAATAGATGCGAGATCAACAGCAGTCTCATTTTTGGGAGAGCTTGCGAGATGAAGGCAGTGTGCCCTAAATCTGATTTTATGAATGTTTGGGGTTTTTTGTTGGTTGGTGGTTGTCTCTTTTCAGCTGCAAGGAAAAGAGTGACATTTAAAGGAAAAGAGCATCAGTCTGACAGATTTTGTGGCACCTCTTACATGCGATATTGTTTCCGTTTGGGGTTGAAGAGCCTTTTTTGTCTTGAATTGTTTCAGCCTTGTCTGTTGTCTCTCCCGCAGCTGACAGCTCTCATTTGTGGTTTCATTATCAAGCTGAGGAACTGCCTGCACGATGATGGATTTTTAAGGCAACTCTACACCATTGGCTTGCTGGCGCAGTTTGAGAGCCTGTTGAGCACTTACGGTAAAGGCACAGGGCAAGTGGGTGGTATTAGCTCTTGAGTCAGCAAATTCTGCTTTAAACTGGCTGCAGCAGAACATGAGTGTTTGGGACAATCTGCAGCTCAGCTACAAAATGATTTTGAAAACTGAAATGCAAAACTAGATTATAGCTGGAGTACTTAATTAGCTAACAACTCTGAATGTCTTTGCATTTAATTGAATTACTTCTAAAAGATAAAGTGTACTTGCCTTATAATGTCAAAGGTTTAAAAAAAAGTATCATATTGATAATTTTTTTCAGAAAAGAAATGGATTAGAATTCTGGTAAACTGGGAGAAACTATGCCCAAAATATGCTTTTTTAATTTTCTTGACTTCTTATAATCCTACAGTACAAAGTGAGCAAGTACAGAATACATTGTAACTTTTCCAACCTAAAGGATATCATGGCTGTGACAATGCTGAGAAGTACTTACTGGCATCATCTAAATTGGAAGATCAGTATATAATCTACCAGAAGAACAGTAGACTGGACTGTGCTAGATAACTGGTGTTTTCTAAACTTGCTGAACTCATAAGTCAGTCATGACATTGTCTGCAGTCTGTAGGTCAAGATGAAGGCCTGGGCTCCAGAGCCTCTTCGTCCATAGAACTTCTTTATGAGAGTGATGACCTACAATCATCATCAAATTGATAAAGGGAAGCTGTATGTAACAAGTAAGGATTACGATTCACTTTTTCCTCCTTGATTTAGGTGAGGAGCTGGCAATGCTGGAGGACATGAGTTTGGGAATCATGGACTTGAGGAATGTAACCTTTAAAGTAACTCAGGCCACATCAAATACATCTACTGACATGCTGCCGGTCATCACTGGAAATCGGTAAAAAAAAAAAAATATGGAGGGGGGAGCGGGAAGTGGGGTGGGACGGCAGATGGGAGAAGCAGCAATACTGCACTTGAAGTGAATTACGTGCTTTTGTACTGTCCTGTTTTTCTCCTCAGAACTTCAAGGATGTTTTGAAGTGGTCTTACTAATTTTTACTGATGTTTCATTTTACAGGGAGTTAAGCTGCAAAGGGATATATGGCAAGGCTCAAATCCTGGCAGTATTGTTTTATGAAAAAATAATCAACCTGAACTAGCCTTCCATAATTATAAGCTAGAAATATTCGGTCTTTTCATAAGCACTTGTGCTGTTTTTAAATTTCAGACTGACTTTTGAGGCTGATCTCATTGTCTGAACTTCACTGTTGTTGATCAGTTGGTCAGTGCTTTACTGTATGGCACTGAGCAATGGGCCACCATTAGCACAACGGGACATGGAATGTGTATCAGGCAGTTGATGAGCTGCTGCTGAGGTGAGGCCTAATTAGGATCAATTTCCAAAGTATCAGGACCAAGCTGGCTTTAACTTACGGATGCTTGTGAAACATCAGACTGTTGCTCATTTTGGCCACTTGTCTGAAAAGAGATATTTTCAAGTTTGAGCTTAAAAGCAATTTTTGTTTTAAAAGTCTGAAGTGACAAAAATTCACATCCTCACGTAAAGTGGAGTGGGAGTGATCTATTACAGCTTTATCATGATGACAACAAACAGATTCACACTTCAATATGCATGCCTCAGCTTGCTTATCAGTTGGCCTTGCACTAGTTTCTGACGTGTGGCTGATGGGCCCCTGCAGTAGAGTTCTTGCCCAGAGGGAGCCGGTTCACAAATGGGGATGAAGCTGTGAAAGGACAGAGGCCTCACAGAAGTCAGTGTTTTAATGTTTCTGTATTTCAGAGTCTTCAGAATATTTTAGTTTCTGATCTGATTTCTGGAGGAAATAAGGCTTATTTGATTACAGTGTGCTGTACCAAGCTCCGCTAGAGCTTTGCCCAGCTTCATCCACATCTGAAAAAAGAGCTAGAATTCTGAAAGATCAAAACATTTAGAGGAACTTTGTTAAGATTTGCATGCAATGAAAAGTGCCGTGACTGAAGGAGGTCTGTAATACAGTCATGTTACGGAAATTGCTGAGACCTGTGGAAATAGCTGATAGCTGACAGAAAATACCTTTCAAAGAAAATCTTTAGTTGAAACTTGCCATCAGCTATAGGACACTAATCAGCGGGAAACCAGTCTTCTTTAGTTTCAGATCTGATAGTGTTGCGTATTATTTTGCTGTCTGTATTTTACTCAAGAAAGAGAAGAAAGAAACCATGGGTATTTATTTAGGTGCAAACTATTGGAAGCTTTACATTTAGAGGTGAAAATAAGCTTTTTGCTTTCACACATGGAATAGGATTTGTGTTTACATCCAATGTAAATGTGGGACAGGCCAATTTTTATTACCTTATTATATGCTTCTCAGAGCTCTTCTGTTATACTTTATACTTGAGAGAATATGCTGTACTTCAGAGTTCTGCACTGTAAAGACTTGTATGTAACACCAAGGTATTGCTGCTGATAGGGTAACGCATAGCACACAAAACACAATAATTTGTTTCTTTTGAGTTCCAACATAGGGTAATATGACATACCTTAGTCTGCGCTGATGTTATGGGGTAAGATGAGCTGCGTTACCTCATGTTTGCCGTGAGATAAAGCATATGCAGTGCTCTTTGCTGTAGCTCAGCTGACCCAAGGTAATCTGTTGTGCTGCAGGAACAGTAGGGCTGAGTCACAAGTTCTGTATCAGTGCTTTTGTAAGCTCCTCCTTCAATTTATGCTTGAGTCGCTACTATCATTGCCTCTATCCTTCTGCTCAGAAATGTCAGTAGTACTTTACTGTATCAAAAAATGTATCCTTTTATGCATGTGCATCATCACTAGTCTTTACCACTTTAAAATCAAATATACTTTACTCTTGATGAGACGAAGACATGCCAAAATTTCGCTTTTTCTACCCAAGTTGTACAAGAACTGCAGTATTAACAAGCAGAGCAAAATCAGCTTTCATCAGGAAATTGGCAGATCTAACTGAAATGTTCATGAGGATGTAAAATCAACATTACAGGTTGCTGCAGGTTTGAACTAGAATAGCTTTTCTGATTAGGAGCAAGCTGTGGCAGTTCCTTAAAGTCCTCAGTTTTGACTGACACTTATTTTTTAATAGTCATATTATTTCCTAGATGTTATCCATCATTACATAAATAACATGTTCTCAGAACGTAGCTTTTTGCTTTTTATGTCTAATAGCTGTTTATTTATTTGCAGTGATGGATTTAATGTGAGGATCCCTTTGCCAAGCGCCTTGTTTGATTTGTTGCCGCGAGAGATTCAAAGTGGCATGTTACTGAGGGTTCAGCCTGTTCTTTTCAATGTGGGAATCAACGAGCAGCAAACCCTAGCAGAGAAGTACGTATTCAGTCATCCAAGCTCAACCTTAATGGCAGTTCAGCAATCTCCTCTTGTGATGGAAGTTTGTCTCTATGGAGTTGCGCTGTTGCATTACTAACAGTGATTCAGTTTCTCCAGCACACGAACAAGGGAATATTAAATGATGCTGTCAAATGCAAAACAAACAACAGGAGGTCATTCTTCACGTGGCAGATAGCTGTGGAGCTCCTTACCTCAAGGCTTTGAGTCTAGTGCAGGTTTATGTGGTTCAGAAGTGAATTTACAGAAGAGGGAATCTATCACGTGCTATTTAACACAGAGGTGCAGGTTGTGTCTTGAGACCTCTGTGAGTGACAGATCACTAGAGGCCTAGAGGTCATTCTGACTGTCACTGTGCATTTGCCCTCTTGGATTTTGTGCTCTCCCCTAGACTCCCTCTTCTGGCCACTGTCAAAACCCAGGATAATGGGCTTTGTTTTAACCTTTTTAACATATTGTTGCAGTACTTACGCAATGTAACATTCTTCTTGTAAAGCCGAAAAATATAGTTATGTAATTATATTTGCTAGGGAAACTGCTCAGTTTCGGAAGAGTCACCAGAGCTTCCCTCTGTCATGGCCATGTCCCGTAACAAATACACTGACAGAGCACTGCTCTAATGGAGAACTCCAGTGAAGTCAGGCACGTGTTTGTGACAGCAGCCTTGGTACCCAGGCAGAATGTGCAGTACGATGGTGGACAATTAGAAAAAGTCTAACAAAGGCCTTCCAGCAGTTGCTCTTGTCCTCTGTTGCCTGTAAAGGGAGCCCAAGGTGACTAGCAGAGTTACAGATGTCAACACTCTGTGTGTTTATATATGTATGTAGATATAGTTAGATGAGGTGAATCATGCCATTGTTGACATTATTTATTACATTCATGGTTTATTACTCCGAGATACATATTTCTTGTTTCCGTATCTGAAGTCAAAGTTCTCAATCCTATCTGCTAATCTTGTGGTTATTATTAGCGTATGAGCCAAACCAGTAAATCCATTATTAAAAGTTTGAATTTTGGCAAAATGATTTACCAGATGGGTATTCAGTATTAAGAGACACAAAAGCCGAAGAATTTTAAGTACTATTTTCTACAAGATTTTTCTTTTACCTTCCTTCCCACTTCTCCCCTCACACTCATATATTTTCTGTTTCTGTAGTGAATCACTACAACACTTCTGTGTTACACTTTACTCTGCATTTGAATGGTTGGGCATTTCATGGGATGAATCTTTATGCTGTTTTCTGGTAATCATATTGCAAAGTACGGTTGTTTTGAAGACGAGAAACCTTTTACTTTGCGCGTAACTGTTCCTTTCTTCACCTTTTAAAGGTTTGGAGACACCTCACTGCAAGAAGTAATTAACATGGAAAGCTTAGTGCGGTTGAATTCGTATTTTGAGCAATTCAAGGAAGTTTTGCCTGATGATTGTAAGTATTGGGTAATTAATGGCAATTTTGGTTGAATGGCACAATTCAGGCTGATTTTTAAATTTGTTTGCTTCATAGAAGTTGTTTAAATGTTGATATGCCAGCATTAGTAACTTCCAAGAAATCATGCGACTCTATTTTAATACATTAATACTAAGTAGAGCAGATTTATAGGGGTTTAAAGGTCAGTCTGATTAACTTTCCTTTTTTAATTTACTTTGCCACTGCAGCTAGGCAGTTAGATTGGCGTGAGGTGAAGGCATAAAAGTGACAGGTCATAGCAGCAGCACTTTTATGTGCAGGTTTTGGTCACATTCTCTGTACGTAGGATAACCTGCACAGAGAGCAACTGCCAGTTTTTAGAAACTTAATCACTTTCTCTCTGCTTATCTTTTGGCACTTTCCTATAATTGTTGCATCTGAAGCCAGCAACAGAGAAGTCTAGCACCTGGAAGACAGACAACAGCTACAAGCTTGAATTTTACTGGTTATATAGGAAAATTCCTTGCTTGTTACTGGTTTTTTTGGGAGATGGTGGCATAAATGTTATTTACGTGTGATGACAAAAATGGTGAAAATTCATTGATTCATTATTATTATTATTATTATCAAACTTTTTGTAAGTTAATTTCATGGGTCCCACAATTGCACTTTTATTGCAGAAATATAAATGCAGCAACATGCAACAGGATAGTAAGAATTTTGTCTATTATACAATATTGTACTTTCAGTTACCTTGGATTTTTTTTTTAATGAAGCTGAGAGCAGTAGCTGTTTCCCTCTTTCCAGGCATTCATAATCTTCCATAATTAAGTCTCTGAAATTTTAGCTGCAAAAATTTATTTTTTTTATTATATAGTAGTCTAGCATCAAACTTTCTTGTAAAGTTCAAAAGTTAAAAAATTTAAAGTTGTTTTTGTTCTGCTTTTCTCCCTGTTACTTCATATCTCTCTCTGTAGTCTTCCATAATAATAATTCCCATTCAGCTCCTTCCTCTACTTTTAGATTTTGCTCACTTTTTTTTACTTCAGTCTCTTCCCTCATCTCCAAACCTCTTACTGATCCCTGCCACACAAAATGAATACCACAAAGGGGGAAAATCTGCCCTCTGCCAAAACTTCCTTCTGCTTCACTGTTTGTCCTGGGTAAATGCAACATATTGTACCTGGTTTTGGAGTCCAGCTTGGACAAATGGTTTGTGGTTATATAACATTAAGGAAAAGTTTTGATTAGAAGTGTGAAAAAATTATTGCAGGTGTCCCAGCAGGTGTGTAGAGATGTTCTGTGAAAAGCTGAGACCATATGGACAAACCTGGGACTGTGCTTCTCATAAGCAAGGTCTGAGGGTGTGTTTTGTACCTCCTCTGTGGTGATATTTAGGACGTAGAAAGTGAAACATACTTTTCCATGAACCCTCGTCAAGAGAGGATAACATTTTACATTTAACTGTAAAACAGGTGGTTATTATGGCTAGCCAGTGGTGTAGTCTGTGGTAAGTACAGGCAAAAGGAAAACCAAACAGATCATTCTAGGGGACAAGAGGGCCAGTGAAGTATCTGCTGGCAGCTTGTAGGAAATGTTCCCTTCAAGAACAATACACAAGGAAAGTTGATTCCTGATCCACCTTCCTTGTCCCTGTGCTCTTAATTCTAAGCACAGCAGAATTTCTAAGTGAATTACTGTCTGAGGTTCATTAGCTCTTTGACCTTTTTCCATTAGCTCTCCTTGTCTTTAGAAATGCTTGGGGTGATGGTCTGTGCCATCTTTTTCTTTACAGGTGTTACTTTCTAGATGTAGAGTTCAAGCAGAGCAGACCAGGATAGGCACAACATTGCTAATCACAGAATAGCATCTTTAAATCATTTAGGTTGGAAAAGTCCTTTAAAGTCATTGAGTCAAAGGCTTTACTAAAATCAATGTAAAAAACATCCACAGCCTTTCCCTCATCCACTAAGTGGGTCACCTTGTCATAGAAGGAGATCAGGTTAGTCTAACATACTATTTGCTGTGAGAAGATACGTGGTCCAAAAGTAAAACCTCATATATCACCCATGTGGGTCATATAGTCATTTTTAGCAGTGTGTACCTCCTTATTTATCCAGTCACACTTTAGTTGGTGGCCTCTGTAGTTACCCCTTTAAAAAAAAAAAACCCAAACAACCTATTTAATACTCGTCATTGATTGTCTTGAGTATCTTGCTACATATGTAAGAGATGATGTATAACATTTTGAACATATAAGATGACTGCTGAAAGCACTCTGAAGTATTGAAAAATGTCAACTGATTTATTTGCACTTAGTGAAATATTAATAACCAGATTGTGGCAGTGTGGTGTCCTGCTGGAGAGAGTGTCTCTTGTAACTGAAAAGTGGCCAGCTTGCAAATTTGAAATTGAAAATGTGAGCAGAATATAAAATATCTTCAGAGTTTCTGTGGAGGCATGCATGACATCCTATCACCTCTGAGGGATGATAATACAGGCAGTTACATGTTTATATACAGTTCTGAACAGTGTGTCAAAGCAAGTACATCTGTGACACACAAACCAAGGTACTATACCGATCTTGCTCCCTTTGTTCACTCTGTTATTATATTGCTATCAGACTCTGAGCCCCTGAAGTTTTAAATAACCTGAATGTATATTTCCAGTTGAGTTTAATGAAACTTGATGAAAATGAAGTTGTTTTGAAAATGAACGTGTTTTGTTGGTAGTACTAAGTAATTAAGAATTGGATTAATTGTTGTAAGCTTTGATAGTTTCAAGAAAACATGGTTGTGTTTGCAACAGGCATATAGGAACACTTTTCACGTAACTTATCTTTGTAAGTGTGTTGAATACAGATATGTAAGTGGAGTTCATTTTGTTTGTTTTATAGGTCTACCTCGATCTCGTAGTCAGACGTGCCTGCCTGAACTGTTAAGATTTCTGGGACAAAATGTACATGCAAGGAAAAATAAGAATGTTGATATCCTTTGGCAAGCTGCTGAGGTATTTATTAATCTAAGCATCTCTGCATAGTTCTGTTGACTTTCTGTATGCATATGTATTTTTCCCTTTTTTATTACCGATATGTTCGAATTTCTTCATTTGCTTGCATGTAGCTTGGAAATGCTGCCAGGTTAAACCTCCTCTAGAATGACACATGGGGAGACAAAATGTATTTTCCACATCAGTATTTTCCCTA